AAACTGATAAATGAGAATAGTGCATGTATGGAGGAAGGATATCCAGCCAATAGCATACTAGCCTGGCTTATGGGTTAAATTCCTCTTCCACCTGACTCCCTGTGTGACCCAGGACAAATTACTTAGGTGCCTAAGTACCTTTGAGGGTCTGGACCTAACTCCCACTGCAATCAAAATACCAACTTCAGGATTACAATCTAAGCAAAGGTGGTGAGGTTTTTATTAATCTAAGGAGCTGGGATGACATAACACTTGTTACATTTCTGATGCTCTTCGGCCATACCTTCCTTTCCCATGCAGTAAGCTCTCGAATCACTGTAGCACTATTGGTGACAGATTGTTATGAAATATACATTGCCATAAATACAAAAACTGCTGGTCACTGTATAGGGTGACCAGACAACAAGTGTGAAAAATTTGGACAGGGAGTGGGGGGCAATAAGAGTCTATATAAGAAAAAGACCCAAAAATCAGGACTGTCCCTATAAAATTGGGACATCTGGTCACCCTAATCCAATAATGGCTTCTGGTGTGGTGCTCCTCCAGCCTACATCCCAAATGCAAAATGCTATTGATTTTTTAAAAATAGAGCTGTTGTTATTTTCTGCGGTTGGTACATTTCATACACACATCATAGACAAGTTGTCATAGAATCAAACATTCTGTTGATGAGCAACCAAGGCAATCCAATAGAACAAGGGGCCATAAATTTATGTCTATGCTTGAAAATGACAAGAGAAGAACAAAACAGAGAAAAACTTATGTTACATTAAATCTGGTACAAATGGAAACCACAGCGATAGTTGAACTTGATAGGCCACCTTCTCTTACTTATGCCACTGTAAGTAAGGAGTGTATTGTTATCATCCACATTTTAGCAATGAAGACAATGAGGCCCAGAGAGAAGTGATTTGCCCACCACAGAGAAAGTCTGCGGCAGAGCTAGGGATTGGACCTAGATTTCCTGAGCTCCAGTTCATAAAAATTATCCTATGCTGAGAGCATGAGGATCTGTTAGGGCAGCTCTGCCCCTAACCCTTGTTTGACTAGCCAGTGGATGTCCCTGCAATAGGGTTTTTTTTGGCGGCATAGAGCCACCATAGCAGTTGCCATGCTACACCCTTCCTGGCCATTGGTGCAAGCAGAATGGCCGAGGAAAAGAGGCCCTGGTTAGGGACTCCATGCCCTCATTTGATCCCTGTTAGCCATTGCCAGCTGGCCTAAATTTATAGCAGGCACCATCATTGGACATAGACAACCCCAAGATTGGACAGGAAGGGGCACAAAAGTGGTTTAAAGCCACTTTTGACCTGCCCCATCCCCAGGCTTGTATCAAGCTCTCCACAGCTGGACTAGAGTCCTGGAGCCTGTGAAAGGGGTTGTTACCAGAGAGATTATTATGTTATCTACCAAAATTCAGGAAATGAACTATGGAAACCATAGGGAAGTATTAAAATTAATTCACCAGCCTCCTTCCAATGAAATAAAGGCCTGATCAAAAGCACACTGAGGTCAACAGGAAAGACTCTCAGAGACTTCAAAGAGCTATGGATTAGGCCCATAGATTTTTAGAACTCTGAGAAGTCGCACGGTAAATGCTTTTGCACGGCATTCTGAAGGAAAAAGCTGTTCCATTTGGTTTACTCAGGAGAGACTTTGCCATCTGTTGTCATAGGAGACCAAAAAACGAGATTTTTTAAAAGAGAAAAAAAATCACTATTCAATTTTTTCAATTTATGTATTTTATTCGTCTTAAAATGTTCCAGCACAGAGAGCATGTTTTCATGAAGGAATATCGTCAAAGCAACAGGCCCAATTGCTCTTAAGTTTCATGCCTTTTCAGTGTAAAGTAACCAAACAATTCTCTCATCACATCCCTAAGTGTTTCTGAGTAATGACTTTTTTTAAAATTCATGGTAGCATTTACTACCTACACGCAGAGAGATAGCAGAATAATGATCAGCAAATGGTTATAATTTGATCTTGTTTTATTCTGCAGCTTGTCTGCCTTCATCTGTCTTCAGTTGTGAAGAAGTAACAGGTCCCCTCGGTCTCCTATGCAAATGTATGAGCCTATTATGAATGCATTGCAATGCTTTCATTTTCTATCCAAAGTAATGTCAATGATAAAAATAAGCCCACTGATGGCTGTCACGCTGTGTGGAGTGGCTCACGACTGTGAGTGCCAACCTCAGGATAGATTGTCAAGAGACCCCAAACTGTTTGTAAGTTCTATCATTAGATTTCACCAACTCAGTAACAAGTATGAACTCCTAAAACACTATAACAGTCTTACCATAGAGTCACAGAGAGTCCTGTTGGGCATTCCAGTCTATCTTGCCACCCAGGCAAGCTAGACTCAGTGATAGATGGTTGCTATACACCAAAGATCACAAAATATCCAGGTTGCTCCTAGTCCCAAGAGACCAGTCACTTACCGCATGTCAATTTGAACCCTAGATCTCACACCAGAGACAATGCTTGTAGCCAATGCTATAGTAAACTCTAGCTAAACTATCTAAAGCAGGCAAACATATATACATAAATGAGTTATAGTCTATTGTTTCAAAGGTGACAGAGTTGTAGTACTGTCAGCTCTGAATGTCTTTTAGGGCTAACCCAGGTTGACCCTGGGGATCTCTGCTTCTGTTTCCTAGCTCTGGCCCTCTGAACATCCAAACAGCAAAAGAGATGAAAATTTTTCTGGCCAGGTATTTTTATTTCCTTCTTCCAGAACTCAAGCTGATAGGATGAACCTCTTTATGGATCTAAGGGGCCAATTAACAAAGTCTTTGCATTGTGATGTCCCACTGACAGGCCTTCTTGATGGGCAGGAGATGATCCCTCCTGACTGGGTTTACAGTTTCAGAGCAAACATTTTTAGAGTTAGAAAGAAAAAATGTAAACATTACCTTATAGCATGCAGTAAAGAAATTGGAAGTGAGATTAATGCATGCAGCCACTTACAAGCATTTCATAAAAGTCTGAACACATTGTTATAAATCCAATCCCCCTCTTAACCATACTAACACCCGGGTGAAACAGACAGGTTTCCAGCAATGAATTTGTCAGTGCTCAGCTGAGCCCTAAAGCTTTGGAAAGAGCTGGCACCTGGTCTGCCAGAGCCACAATGGCTAGTTCCAAAACCTTTTCGGTCCATTTGTATAGTTAGCCTTTTGCAAATGGCCTTCTCATGCCTACACAGCTACAGTCGAGATCTGAACTTTATCAGTACATAAATTTAAGGAGCATCTTTCCCCTTTGCAAAATGATCGGTGCAAAAGGTGGCAGCAGGGAGAGCATCTCATGAAACATGGAAATAACGTGTTGCAATTCTGCAGCTCTTTTATTTCAGAAACTCAAAGAGAATATTGAGAACAGTAGGAAAGCCATCAAACAGGATCATGTGAATAAGGTAGTAAAACATCCCACCTACCCTCCTCACTGTTAGCTGCCTCATGCAGAAAATATGTAATCAGCCCTAAAAAAAACCCAACTCATCTCACAGTAAGGGGGTATAACTGGTGCACACTCATTTGCTCCAGGTATTTGAATTCCTCGGGGTTTAGTGAAACTGTCAAAACCTTACGAGTGTGAATTCTGTTGTGTAAGTAAAATTAATGACTGCTTTGCTGCTTCCCATATTTTAAGGCTTTAAATGAGTCTTATTGCTAGGGGTTTTATCAAAATGTAAATGTAAATCTGTCCGCATTTAAATTCTCAGAACTGATTGACCTCAAGTCTGACTGACCACTGGTATTTATCTTGGTCTTGTAAAGCAAGCAAACTACTTTATCCAGGCACGAATCCCACATCACAATCTGCTTTAACTAACTAGGGAATAAGGCTCAAATGGAAAGATCCAGTCAAGCAAGTAAACATTGGAAAACAAACAGGAGCATTTGCATGCAGATGTATTATATTTATTCATACTTTGACCTCTTTTTCTAAGGGAGGGCACAGTATTCTGGGCATTGCTGTAATACAACTATTAAATAAATAAATGTGAATTATATGAATAATTGAAATTAACGCTCACCAGAGCAGTGTTACCAAAAAGAAGCTTGCAAGTTAGATATAGCGACAGAGTGAGGGAGCTCAATCTCTTTAGTTTAACAAAGAGAAGGTTAAGGAGTGACTTGATCACAGTTTATAAGTATCTACATGGGGAACAATCATTTGATGTTGGGCTCTTCGGTCTAGAAGACTAATGTAAAACAAGATCCAATGGCTAGAAGTTGAAGCCAGAAAAATCCAGACTAGAAATAAGGCTAATTAATTAACCACTGGAACAATTTACCAATGGGCTGTGGTGGATTCTCCATCACTAGCAATTTTCGAAACAAGATTGGATATTTTTTCTAAAAGATATGCTCTAGCTCAAACAGGAATTAATTCAGGGAAGTTCTCTTGCCTGTGTTATGCGGGAGGTCAGACTAGATGATCACAATGGTCCTTGGAATTGATGAAGTTGGGTCCTCATTCAGGAAACAATTCCTATTCAGGAAAACACTTAAGCACTGGTTTAAATTTATGCTTACAGGCCCTCCTGAATAAGGGCCTTTAACTGAAAACTTTTTGCGGCAGGAACTGTGCCTTCCTCTGTGTTTGGAAGGACACCAGCGTAGTTCGAGCAATGCCTCAAGCTATGGCCCTTTGGTGCCATGCAGTTAAGAGGAGTCAGAACTCCTCAACAACTCTCTGTGGCCTGAATAATGGCAAACCAGGAATTATGGCCTGTAGATCATGGCCAATACGAGGGACAAGCCCCCAACAATTCCCACCTGAGCAACTCAGCAGAAGAGAGGTGGGACTCCATGGAAGCGCTAGGAATATATTAAATCTAAACAGGTGGGTCCCCACAAAGACACAGTGAGAAGTAACTCAGAGATCCAAAAGCGTAGGTTGAGTTCCCCTGAGTCTCAGAGTCTTTGTTCATCAACTCCATAGTCTGCTGAGTCAAAAGCACTGCAACAATATCTTCCTCCTCTTTCTTGCAGAAGTCTCCATTTGGGACCCAGGCAGATTCTTTCTCCACTCCTGGGCTGTGGAATCACTCCATTAGCTAGTCAGCTATCTAACCAACAACCAGTGTTAAGTATATAAATGAAAAACCCTGTTATAAGAAAAATACAAATCCGAGAATAGCAAGCTATCCAAGACTTTCCCCATCATCACATTTAACTAAGAGCCGGTGAACCAGACTGGTTAAGACAACGTAACTACACTGGTTTGGCTAAAATCAAACAACATTCAAAGTATATGTAGCGAGGAGGCATGCTCTCCCTCCCTGATGGACGGGGAGAGAACCACGACTGCCCCCTGCTGGGCAGAACTGGGACACCCGTGACCAGAAGCAGAGGGGCGGGACAGGAATCAGAAATATAAAAGGTAGGCCCTCCACCTCAGTTGAGGGTGAGCTGCCAGAGGAGCAGGATGTCCCCCCCCCCCCCCACGGGAGCGGAGCATGCACCCAATGGAGGCCGCTACAGTGCCAGAGACCCGGAGGGACTGCTGGAGCTGCCAGACACCGGGGCCACCAAGGAGCTGTTGGGGATGCCACTAACCCTTTACCCCAGCGAGACAAACGACAACCCCGGAACCCAGGCATCCCCTGACTGGGAATGTAGGAAGGAGCTCAGGGAAGCCAAATAGAATTGAGCTGTGTTACTAACTGCAAGCCAGACAGCATCTTGCAGCCAGACCTCATTTTGAAAAGCAGCTGCCAGGACTACTTGCCCTCAGTGGAGTCTCTGAGTCCAACTACAGAGAGCCAATTGAGCCTGGCTGGAACTACCACCCCCAATTCCCCAAACTTCTGGGTGTGGAAAGCTAATGGACAGATGCAGAGCAACAATGTCCCAGACACAACTCATTCCTTCCCCATCCCCATCCTCCAGTCTCTTAAAGAGGTACCTCCTTGTTAGCCATGTGAGTTACACCAGTGCAACCAGAAAGCCTTGGAGTCATTATGCCGGTCTGAAGCACAATGCCACCTGCTGCGCTCCCTGGGGTGATGCCCAACACACTGCCCCTTATCTGATATCCATGCTAAGAGCACAACTTCTCCATAAATAACCAAACAACAATTATAAGAAAATACCGTCCCTGGGGAAAAATCTTACAGCCCATTCCTTTCAGGGCAGAGCAAATGATTTTCGCTGTTAAGCATGAGGCTAATGGTAGCTTGAGTGAAATCCCATCACAGAACACTGGAGGGGGTGGGGGTTATATTTTGCACTCTGTGGGCCAAATCGCTGCTCTCAGCTGGAGTGATGCAACTGACCTCAAGAAAATTACTCAGATTAACAACAGTTCAGGGGTGAACAAAATGTGCCCACAGTGAACAGAGGCAGATTAAGATTTATTGGGGCCCTGGGCACAAAGAACTTTGGGACCTCCCACACCCTCTTTGCCATGGGGCCCTGCTCCTCCTCTTCCCCCAGAGGCTCCACCCCCTGGCCAGGCCAGAAGCCAGAGCTGGTTTGTGATAAGAACCATGGGGAGCTTGGGCCACTGTGGGGAGCCCTGGACCCTCCTCCTGCCCTGCGTAGTGCGCCCCATGGAGTGGGGACACAGGCTGGTCGCTGCTCTTGCCAACCCCCCCAGGGGCAGGTGGAGGGTTCAGGACACCCCACAGTGGCCCAGGCTCCCTAGGAGGCTCTTATCATGGTCCAGCTCTGTCTTCTGGTCTGGCCAGGGGGCAGGGCCCCAGGGGAAGAGAAGGAGAAAGGGGCAAGGCCACAGTTCTGGAGCCGATGCCCTCCCCCCCACCACACACACACACTTCTACCCAGGTTCTGGCGCTCCTGCGGGGGCCTGCAAATTATCCGGGGGCCCTGGGCATGGGCCTTATGGGCCCATGTGTTAATCCACCACTGATGGTGAACAGTAATGGTCATAAGATGAGCTCAAAGCTCTTCACAAGACTTGATTTCCATTGCTGGCTCTGCCACTGATTTGCTAACCTCAGACAGATCATTTAAACACTCCATGCCTCAGTTTATTACCTGTAAAATGGGAGTAATGTTATTTATCCACATTGGTAAAGCTAAGAGATGTCTTTGGAGGAAAAGTACCATTGGCAGCAAATGCGACGGGGGCTCTGAGGGAGGGTGCAACTCGACACAGCTCCTGCAGGAATTCTTACAGGAGGGAGGGGTACAAAATTTGAAAAACGAGTAACTAGGGGAAAAGAAGGGTTATAGGTTTACCTCCCGGTTGTGTCTTGCCAATCCAGCTTGGGAAAAAATAGTCTTAGGAAGAAAATTGTTCCATTATTTTATGCTTGTTGTATGTAGTGAAGCACAGCTAGTGCTTTATAGCAGGGGTAGGCAAAGCCAAAGGCGGCACGTGAGCTGATTTTCAGTGGCACTCACACTGCCCGGGTCCTGGCCTCTGGTCCGGGGGGGCTCTGCATTTTAATTTGATTTTAAATTAAGCTTCTTCAACATTTTAAAACCCTTATTTACTTTATAATACATAACTAAACTATTGTTGTATGTAGACTTATGGAAAGAGACCTTTTAAAAACGTTAAAATGTATGACTGGCACGCGAAACCTTAAATTAGGGTGAATAAATGAAGACTCGGCAAACCACTTCTGAAAGGCTGCCGACCCCTGCTCTATAGTAATGGCTTGTTTGACACTGAATATAACCAGCCAGCCCAGACACACCCATTGCCAGTTTTAAGCTAATGGCACCCTTATGCTACTTCACCCGCTCAGGAATCTTACTCCTCCAGCCAAGGATCAGCACATTAATCCAAACAGCAGAACTAGGAGCTGAAGCTGGGTTCTCTGAAACAGCAGGTTTAGCAGATGAAAGCAGCAAAGCTCCAAGCCTCCATGCTGGCCAGCTGATGTGTTTTTAATTTCTTCTCTATGGCTCCCGAAGGGCCATATATAAAATGAAGCAAATTCTGAGAAGTCCCACTGGCCCCTAAAGTCAGCACCTTCCACCTAGACAAAAAAATCAAGGGCCAGATCCTCATCTGGTATAAATCGGTGTTGTTCTACTACAGTCAAAGAAGCTACATCAGTTTATGCAAGCTGAGGATCGAGCACCAAATATTTACAATAAAGCGCTACCAACACTTTGGATTCCACCCTGTCCCTCCGGTGCACTTACATGTATCTTGTAAAGTTAGCTTGTGCACTCGTATACATGATTGGGGTTAATTTGGATATCTAGAGTATTATGGGATAGTGCCATGCACCACCCCTCACTTACTTCTTCGGTTGTGATTCAGTTGTAGAAAGTAACAAGTTCACAGCCTCAGTCCTGTGAGTAAAGTGTTATTTTTGTAAAACTGAGCAGTCCCTTTAGAAAAACCTGTCTGTAAGCTCATTGTCCAGGACACTGAATGCAGTGATGGTGTGTCCACATATCTGGGGGCCAGCGCCGGCTCCAGGCACCAGCCCACCAAGCATCTGCTTGGGGCGGCGCCTTGAGGGGGGCGGCGCAGCGGAGCGCTCCGGCCCGAGAACGGGCCCGCGACTGGGCTCTCCGCCCTCCTCCCGGCGCTCTGGCCGCCAGGGAGAGCGGGGCCCCGGCCGGGCTCGCCGCCCTCCCCCCGGCGCTCCGGCTGGTCGGGGATTGCGGGCCCGCGGCTGGGCTTGGTGCCCTCCCCTGCCGCGCTGGGGGGGAAGGCGGCGGGTGGCTTTTTTGCCTAGGGCGGCCCTGCTGGGGGCAGGAACCAATCCACTTTTACCTAGTCCCGGCATATTTGAATATATCCAATTTCACTATTCACTGGACTAGATCCATTGAAGGGACGATGGGCAGATTTTAATATTGTCACTTTACAAATTTTGGATTTGTGTGTGTCCTTCCCATCTCTTTCTAAACTACCATTCCATTTCCCTTAAGATCCTCAAATGAAAGATGCTAATTTACGTGCAAAGTATTGTTAGGCTTGCACGAGATAAACAGTATAACATAGCCAGAAGAAGAGACCAAAAAGTATCTGAATATGGACAAAGGGCCAAATTCATCAGCAGTGTAACTCTACTGATACCAATGAAATCCCTTTCACCAGGAATGAATTTGGCCCATGCATTGCACAAAGTCTGTATTTCTCATAGTCAGAGTCCTAGTTAAATAGGGTCCATTCATACAAGCTCTTGTGGACTTCAGTATGAGTTTTGTACAGTTAATGTCTGCAGGATCAAGCCCATAATGGGTCCAGTTCAATGCACCACTGAAGCCAATTGATGGCCTCCCATTAACTTCAATGGGCATTGGGTCAACAATGAGCACAAATTCTTGACTTAGATTTTATATGCATAAGAGTTGCCTCCTGCAAATCTCATAGGCGGGGCTGACAGCACCACCTATTATTAAAGTTGCTTGATATTTCCCGTTACAGGATTCTTTATCAGTTGTTTGTAACTTTATCAAATGTTAACAGTTTGGGCTGAAATTGTTCATGCCAGGTGTCTGCCTGAGGCGGAATGTGTTTGAAACGCTTCCGCCAAAATAGTGCAGCCATTTCAGAGAATGAGGTTTGGGGAAAATCATTGTTTTGCCATTAAAAAAAAACGATAGCAACCTTATCTTTGAACAGCGATGTTTTGGACCAGGGATCTGAAATTTGGCAGGGGAGTGACTTTTGTGTCAGGGATGGGCCTTTTGCCATCCCTATGCAAATCCATCCAGATCTGGCCAAGTTATATGCCTTTGAAAAATTGCAATGTGCACATGCTCGGTAGAGACTTCTGTGGTCTCTGAAGAGTCTGTCCACACTGAGCATTCTCCACACTGTCACCGCTCCTGTGTGTTACCGGACTGTGCACGCAGCATCCCCACAGCCCAGGGCTGCAGAGGCAAATCCAAACTTTCTCTGTAATGGGTGCGCCTAACTGCTCCCGGCCAGGATGGTTTGGGCATTGGAACTGAGAGCAGGGAACCTGTCTCTCCTGTGCTCTCAATGACCTTCTTGCTGGTGCCCAAGCAATGTGTAAGAAACCACTTGGCCTGAATGCAGGGGGGACAAGAACTGGATGGGTGGGAGGGGAGGAGAAGTAGATTGGGACAGAGTCTGATGACATTGGGATGGGGGTAAGTCTGGGACATATTGGTCAAGGTGACTGGGATTGGGAGCCTGGGGAGGAGAGGAGGAGGAGAGACTGGGAGTTGATGAGGGAAATTGGGTGGAAAAGGGGACTGGGAGCCACTTAGAGGTGGAGAACAGAGTCAGGGGGGAGTCAGATTTGAGAAGGAGCTGGGGAAGAACTTGGACTGGATGGACAAAGTGACTGGGTCAAGGAGCCAGGGAGGTGGACGACTGTGATAAGGATCCAGGAGTGATTTGGGGACGTTTGAGATTGGACAAAGGGGCTGGGGAGTCAAAGTAAGACTAAGAGGCAGTGGGAGGAGGGGAAACTGGGGTGGAAGCCAGCAGGGAGGGGAGAGACAGATCAAATGAGGAGCCAGGAACGGTGAACTGGGACTCGCTGGCAACAAGACTGAGAACAAGGATTCAGGGTAGGAAAAACTGGGATTGGCTGGGCAAGGAGACTGGAACTGGAAGTAGGTGGGAAGACTTGGAGAGAGGTGACTGGGATTCTGAGTGGGAGCCCAGATAGGGAGAGTAGGAGTGGCTACGCCAAGAGACTGGGACAAGACTGAGGAGTGGAGACTGTGACAAGGAGCCAGAGATGGAAAAGAGGACCGGGACAGAAACAGGTTGGATGGGATGGAGCAGGAAGCATCAAGCTTGGTGCAAATAGACAGAAGAGTCTGTGACCACTAGAACCACACTCCCCTCCAGAATGTGAAATGAAAACCAAAATTCTGGAGGGCTTGTCTAGATGAACAGTTAGTGTGCAGCAAGCTGGAGTGTAAATCTATAGTGCCTTAGAGTGCCACGCACTAGCTGTCCATGTGGACCCTGATGCCACGCACTAAAGCTCCGAAGTGCACTTCTATCTATTCCACTCTGAAGTGCCTCATTTGTTCCATAATTGGAAGGTGCGCACCTATTGTAGAAATAGTGGGGGATGGCAGGCATGGGCTCACCCATCGTTAAAGGCCCTCCCCCATCATCTGAACGGGAGGGACCTGCAGACCCAGGCCAAAAATGAATTCTGGGGACAACAAATGAAAAAACAGGGACGGGAATGAAGGCCATAGGGCAAAAATCAGATAAACAGAAGGGGACACCAAGCAGAGAGCCCCCAACAGTGCCCACTGCTCCTCAAAAGGCATCTAGAGAGTCAGTGAACACTCTGCTTGAAGGTGTGACTGGACCAGGGCACAGAAATAGGCGCAGTAGTCACAGAACAACCCCACACACACACACACATCCTGGCTCAGCTTCCTATATTCCTGGGCTTGAATATATAAATTCCTATCTAATGCTAAGAACTTTCAAAAAAAGTCAGGTCCTATATTACTCAAATTGGACACCCAAAATGAGTGGACACTTTCATCTTAATCTCTCTGCCCCAATTCCCCATCTATAAAATATGGATAATACCACCCCTTCACAGGGGTGTTGTGAAGATAAATGTCTGTGAAGCACGTAGGTGCTATACTGATGAGCACCATAGAAAAGCCCAGGAGGAAATTAATAGTTCTGTCTTCAGAGCAGGGTTTGAATAATGTGCAGTAAATAAGGGGACACACATTGAACAGGGACAAGTGAACAAATTATTGAATGATCGAGCACTAGCCATTCTCTGCACTGAACAGGGCAGGGGTCCTGTGGGTAAAAATTGTATGTGATCACGTAATTATAGGCTGTATCACAATACATATGCACAAGGGGGTGCAGTTCAGGTTTCACAGACAACCTGAATTCTGGCATTTCCTAACTTTTGAACTCTTGACATAGCAACATTAATGCTTCAACATTCTCTTAATGTAGATTTTTTGGTGTTATTTTATATATACACCTCTACCCCAATATAACGCTGTCCTCGGGAGCCAAAAAAATCTTACCGCATTATAGGTGAAACTGCGTTATATCGAACTTGCTTTGATCTGCAGGAGCATGCAGCCCCGCCCTCCTGGAGTGCTGCTTTACCGCGTTATATCCGAATTCGTGTTATATCGGGTTGCGTTATATCGGGGTAGAGGTGTATATAAAATCGACAATAGGTATATATATATATATAAGTAAAAAGCAACAGAGGGTCCTGTGGCACCTTTGAGACTAACAGAAGTACTGGGAGCATAAGCTTTCGTGGGTAAGAACCTCACTTCTTCAGATGCAAGTCTTGCATCTGAAGAAG